AACTTTGTTTCAATTTAGAAGAAAATGATTGTAATTTGATCGTCCTGACTTGTGAGACGAATCAACCTCTGTACTTCAAACGAACACTAGTGGAATTACTTCAACTGAGCGTGGCCCCGTGGGTTTTTCCCTCTTTCGGGTTTTCCACGTCAAAATCATGATGTTCATTTTTTCCTTTACTGTTTGTGTGTGCTGAATATTCGTACAACGCTTGGACGTAAAATTACAAATTCTACCGCCGCGTATATTCTAGCCCGTAACAAACTTAATTTCCCTTAAGCTATTCTTATCAACTCCACCACCCCACCTCTATGCCTTCTCCTCTTAGAGATGAATAAGTAAGGATTGAAATATGATATAAGTTCATGATTTAAATATGATAGAAGTTCATGACTAAGGATCTGTTTGAGACAATTTTCTCATCATTTTATTTTTTAGAAAGCAATCATAATTTTAGTTTGACTACTGATTTGTTGTTACTTTTTTATTGTTTTTCAAAATTTTCAGTAATGAAAAATTGATTTTTATAATAAGAATAGCTAAACAGTCTCTAAAAGAATTACTATATTAGAAATAAAAGGACATATAATACAATAATACCCTATTTATTTCAAAAAATTTAGTAGGGATTTTTTTTAGGAGAATTTATATACATCCTTAATTATCGATGACCAATTTTATTGGCATCTACAAGTGATGGAGTTGGTGGCGACTGCATGTGCCTTAGCAATAGATGGTGCCTGTATTTGTGGAGACACATAACATTAGATTGTTAGCAAAGATGTGCATTGGCCTTAATGACAATGGCATGTATTGACATTGATGGTGATAATGTGCATCGGCTTTTATGACGATGGCTTGTATCAGATGCTGATAACATAGACTTAAGATTTCAAGATAGTTTTCTCTTTGTATTTGTTCCATCATTCCCTAACAAGAACACCTCTACACAATGTGTTTAATTATACTAGAGGCAATTGCTTAAAGATCATAGTATTTTAAAACTTTTAGGGAGATAATTTCCTAAAATCTCTTGTAATAACACCTCTACATAATGTGCATAACTCTTCTAAGGGGCAATCGTCTAAAGATCATAGTATTTTAATTTTTTTAGGGGGGGCAATTGCCTAAAGAATCTTATAATAAAAAGTAAAAAAATTATGAAAAAGGACAAATTACCTAAAAATCTATTGAATAAACAAGTTTTTAATTTTTTTTAGGGGGGGCAATTGTCCCCCCTAGAGGCTTAATGGTTCCGCCTCTGCTTTTTTAGCCAACATTTTAAAGGTTGCATAATATATAATGTATGTATTAAGAAAACTTTTTTATTTGAGGGAGTTTTTTTTTTTAAATCAATTTATTTTCTTCATTAAAAAATCGATCATAATTAATTCTTTTGCTTTTTTCACAGTAAAATATTTATACAGGAATACGTATATTTATAAATAAATATAAGGACTAAATTTTATCACCACAGTCAAGATGGCCGAGTTGGTCTAAGGCGCCAGTTTCAGGTACTGGTCCGAAAGGGCATGGGTTCGAATCCCATTCTTGACAAAAAAATATTTTGAGAATCTACAAACTTTTTGTTTCTCCCCCACATCTCACAGGTGCCCAATTGAAGCATGCATAATAATTTATTAATGGTAAAATTAAATTTATAATATATATAACTATTTATTTATAATAATTTTATTAGTATTCTCTATGTAATACAAATTTTTTTAGTTCAAAAAATATTTATACAATAAATTAAATTAAAAAGTAATAAAAAGTTATCCAAATAGCTCAGATGAAGCTTTAGTTACAATGATATGGATCAAAAGAGTTCAAAATTATTTTATTTTGAATTCAACTCATTAAATATTCAGAAAATTATGCTTTGAACCGTGCATTTGGAAATCAAATAATCTTTTCTTTTTGATGAGTTGTAGAGAAATTTAGCTGCTTATGCTATTTAAAAAACAAATGCCCATCAAATGAATCTAAGAAGTCAAAATTTATTTAAATCTGAGTTTAGAAATGCACTTAGAAGTTGGAGGATAAATCTAATGAGTCAAAATTCATTTGATTGAGTTCGTAATGTACTTAAAAGGTGGAGGATTGTAGTCAAATAGTGGTGATTAGAGCTGACAGGTATGAGTAGCTTAACAAAAAAAAAAAGGTTTGAGTAGAATATTAACGGTGGACGGCGATAGTTTGATTGCGATTGGATGGTGGTTTGTGCCTGTTGGCTCAATAACGGCATTTGGGTGAGGTTTGAAAGTGGAGTTTCAATATTATTTAAATCTTAGAGTTCCCTTTGAATCTCAAGCTAAGATTCAAGTCTCATATCCTCCTATCCTCTCTTATATGAAGAGTCTGGTCTATTTATAAGTTTTGTACAATGTCGTGTCTTTTAAATATAATAAAATTCGAAATCATCTTTGGGACACTCAATTTTATTATAAGCATATGAGATTTTGATATTATTTATTTATCCCATTAGTGTCCTAAAATTTTAATTGCACTTTGAGTGCTTGAATTAGGCTCATTGAAATCCAGATTTGATCACTTTTATTATACATTGATTTATCTCATTGAGACATTGAGTTTGACTATAAATATGCAAAAATCAAAGTTAAGATAGCCCTGAAATTGGACTTGAAAATTTACAATTCAGCCATGCATCTAGATTCATACTCGATCAAGCCAATTTTACACATCAATACTGCAATCAAAACATAAATTAATTAAATATTTATTATAAAAACTTATTTTTTCACTATAAAAAAATATATATCAATATTAGTCATATATGACTTGCAACCATAGAGCTCATCTAACTTGATATTTGAGACAATTGGCTAGGTTTGGATAGTGGCAAATAAGAAAACAAGATATATGTATTCACTCCCTTCATTTGCATTTCCCTTGCTACCCTCTCTCTTTTTAACACCCCCTTTTATTTCCTCACATTTGATTCTTTATTGCCTTACATATGCTTAGGGGTGTCAATTTCAGGTCACGGGTCGGTTCGGGTCGAACCCGAAAATGACTCGGCACTATTTGGGTTAACCCGAACCCGACCCGTTTTTTACAAACGAGTCGATTTACCGGACTCGAAGCCGGCCCGACCCACGGACACAACAAGCCCGGGAGCAGCTTCGCGGCATTAGCGAGCCTTCAGCGCGGCAGCAGCGTCCAGCGGCAGCGACGTTCGACGTCCGGCGGCATCGGGACGTGGGATGCGACGTGACCATGATTCACACGGCGGTATGTGACGCGGGGCCAGCAGAAATGACGCGAAGCGACGCGGGCAGTGGTCACGCAGGGGGGCAGGTGAGTCAGTGGGGCAGCGCATCGGGGCAGCTTGGTCACGCGGGGGCGGGCATGGGCTAGGCAGTCAGCGCAGCAGGGCAGCTCGGTCAGCGGGTCGAACCGGATCATTTTCGGATTTCCGAGTCAACCCGACCCGATTTTTAAAACGGGTCGAAAACTCTAACCCAAACCCGAACCCGAAATTTCCGTGTTAGGTTCAAGTCGAGTTTTCGGGTTGTGTCAAATATTGACACCCCTGCATATGCTCTAGGCTTAAGGCATTAGTAGTGGTAATATTTTGTATCATAATTTTCAATTTCACTTATAACAAGAGGACGAACGATATTTATTGATGCAAGAGGGTATGATATGGTGGTAGTAAGGCAATCAGGATTGTTTCTTCTATTAAATCTGAGTTTTTTTTCTATCATTTAAAATTTCTATTTAAACAATCAACATGCAAATGTACCAAATAGCTTAGTGATTTAGAAATAGTTATATCATACTTCCTTCAAAGATTTACAATTCAAATTTTAATACAGTAATAAAGATTGTAAATAGATTGAACATTTTTTCAACAAAAAAAATCATTTTGCATGTTCTTTAAATATTTTCACCAACAACTACAAGTCTTGTCCTATTTCCGACGTCAGGCAAACTCTCTTTTGAGAGATTATTCTGTGCAGAGACCGGACGTAGCTCTACGTTCAAATGTGAATCAGGTGCAGCCACATCAATGGTATCGAGCAACGATACCGAGCGAGGTGTCGTGGCTCATTCTGCATGATTTCCAGACGGTGTTCAGCGTCTGCCCAGAATAATTTTTCCCCTTTTGAGAGTAAATAGCCTTAAATTTTTACAGTTTTGGCATATATCCTCTTAAATGTGAGCAAATACACAAAAGTTGTTCGAAGGATTCTCCACAATAACTTCTATCTTGTTATTTCTTTAATAAAGGTTTTCTATGTTTGTTTAGTCATCATCCACAGCATGCAGGCTCATTACTAAAAGTTTGAGCACTCAAATTAACCAAACACAAAAGAACAAAACCCTAAACAGCAATGTTACTGTTAAAGAACAAAAATTAAAAAAAAAAAAAATCTTTCTATGATGCTCTCTTCATTAAAAAAAAAAAGAACTAAAATTAAAGAAAAATAAAATAAAATAAAAGAATAATGCTTACATATATATTCTATGCATGAAAGTTATTTCCATGATTTGAAAGACTGATCATAGGTCTAAAGCATATTTGAACATCTAAAAGTAAAGGTGGAAATCAAATTCTCTGCACCCACATGAAACAATTTAAGAATCAAATAATAGCTTCTTCAGCAAAGCAAAGGCATCATACAAACATCTTAAAAGTGAATTGTTTTATTCTTACAAGAAATTATTACGTGATGTAGAGTTGCGTCCGGACTCCAATGAAACATTCATACGTGATCAAAATATAATTTTTTATATTACTACGATACTGAGTATTTACTACGTATTAACTATGTATTTAAAAACACAGTAAATACTCAATAAATACGCAGAGTCCGTACGCAGCTCTATGTCCGGACTCCACACGTAATAATTTCTCAAGTGGATCCCCGATAAGTTGCGATGTATGTTAGATCGATATCAAAGTTCACAACTTTTTTTTTTGGAAAAAATGAAGAACAAAGGTAAAATGAAAATTACCTGACAAAATCAGATAACCAAAGAAGTTTTCTATTATTTAAAGGGAAAGTGTCTATCACGCTTATCACTGACATAAATCAAGCACTCATCTGATAGTATCATCGGCCAATCTGGTTTTACATCTCTGCACAATCTCAAGAAAGGAAAGCCTAAGCTCAATTGTAGAAAGTAACTCAAATCTCAAACCTTACACAAAAACCTATATACTTGGGAACCTAGAATTCAAATTTTAAGAGATAAACTCTCTGGTTAGCCCTAAATAATTAACCAACCATTTATAAATTTTAACGGGAAATCTGAAATTCACAACAATGACCTTTTTTTTTCTTTTTTCTTTTTTTTTTTCAACTGAATTCTTAACATGCTATAAGACCTGACACCAAAAGAATGGAAACCCCCTAGGCAGCAACTCCTGCGAAAGCAAGTAAAAGAAAATATAAGTAAAATTTGTATGAAAACTAAAGAAAGATTAGTTTATTGATTCAAAGGAGGAGGAAAGTTTGATACATTTTCACACTAACTCTGCTGGATCACGAAAAGGAAATGTCTAATAATGAAACATGCACGCAAGAATGTTATCCATCTGTCAATAAAAAGTTCCATATGTTAGAAACCATTCAGAAAGTACTGTTACTATCTGCAAGCAAATATTTCATGGAAATCTATCAAAAGAACATTCTCTTGTAGGCTTCGTTTGGAACAACTTTCTAGTATAAAAGTTTTAATTTTTGTACTAAAAAGCTGATTTAAGAAGCAGCAAAAAAGCCGTCCCAAATGAAGCTGTCATATGTTCTGCACGATTTGTACTTTTAAATAAAATTCAACGTATCATGCAATGAAAGTACATTGAACTTAGAGAAATGAAAGAATACACAATTGATAACTAAAATTAAATTTGTTCTTGAATCATGCATTCAAATCAAATAGTACTCCTATTGACTGGAAAATGACTTGAATCTCTCCTCAAAATATGTCTCAGCATTAAGGAACAAGATATAGGTTATAATCATACTCGATAAATTATTGATTTTTTGCAAATCTGAGGATAATGAACCCTTGCTTTCTTTTTACCTCCTTCCCACAAGAGACATGGAAGGTGCAAAAAAGAAAGAACACATCAAATATTTGAGATATACAAGAACCTTTGCTGAGAAATTCGTCAAATATGATTCAAATGAGAGATTAATTACTATTAATTTTGTGAGGTGTTGTCTAGTTTTAGGATATGTTGATCATGCAAGTTACCACAATAATGTAAATGTTTAAATATAGGTATTGTATGCTGATGTATAATTTGGAAAAAATTGGAATAAAACTTTAGGTAAGTTTTCTCTCCAAATTCTGCTCTCTTCCCTCTTCTCCCTCTCTCTCATGCAAGAAGCTCTCAAGAACTCCTAATTTGTAGTTGTGCCTCCCTTTGTTTGCTCAAAACACACCTTTTTGTCTTTACTCCTTCCATTTCATACTAGTTCCCTTCAGTTTCCTTTTCCATTTTTTAAATGTAAAGGGATGAAGGCTTGATGTTGTTGTTCTTGGTCATTTAACACTGACAATGCCCTTGTTGGTAATCTAAATTTGATTTATGAATTTCCATTATTCAAAAAAAAGGATTATAGACCATTAACTCTTACTACATTTCCTTATTAGAAGTATTTACGAAGGCGCATACCAAATGCTTGAAGTTACCAATAACCTTACCCTTGTGCAAAGAGTCTATTTATGGAGAGATTATGACGTGCCGAGATCGGGCACAGAGAACCGTTCGGTTTTGTCTCTATAAACAACAAAAGTATAGTGATGAACAGTAAAAGATGCACAAAGACAAACTGGACGGCTCTCTGTGTCCGATCTCCGAGCCTAATAGTTTCTCCTATTTCTATGATTCGAACAGGTGAACTCTAAATCTATCTTGGCAATATATTTTAAAAAAATATATCCTGAGACATTCTTTCTATCTATGATGCAAATAAACTGCTAGAGGGCTAACCTGTCTTGTCGAAAACCACATCACATTTAGAAATCAAATCATTTCAAGACACAAACACAATTTCGCTTCAGGACGGTACATCCCTTCATACCATGTCACTTCAGTAATCATGTCGTTTCAGGAGGACAAGTCAGGCACTCCATTAGGTTGTCCTCTTCTTTTCTATTTAAATATTACTGGCAATTGTTAAAATCGTTCGAACACAGAACAAGAAGTTAGACACAAGTTGAACAAAACCTTGCTATTGTAACTTGGTTAACACCCAAACCAAACTTATTTTAGCGTCTCTAGCTCTCATTATCCCTTTTTTATGATCTATCATTTCTTGTGATATTTTCCTGTATAACCAATGGTTTACAAACATCAGCATATGTTCTTCATGCATCATCCACAAATTTAAGTCTTGTCCGTTGGAGGAAAAAAAATAATCAGACAACCCCAGTGGTGAGTTCTTAAAGAATATGGAGGAGATTAAGGCTTTTGGTGAAGGCACGCAATAAGGATAATAAGGGCAATTGTTACAAAGAGGAGAAAGGAAGATTGGAGATGCAACAAAAGGTTAGCTTGCAATTAATGTTTTTACATCATTATTTTTACCATGTAGGTCCCTCATGCCGCACTTCAGAAAGGTTCATATTTTTAGAGCCCTCTGCCTTGATCCCAATGTTTAAAGTATGAAAACAAATTTTTACATATTAAGTAAGTAGGCGTAGTCTAATATCATTTATAATGTTTGGTGATAGAAAAGATGGTATAACAAAGAAGAAGGCATGGATAAAAAACGAAAACAAATTTTCAAATATTTAAGTCAGCATACTCTACCATCATTTATGATGTTTGGTAGTCACAAAGCTATTAGAAGAAATTACCTCAACTAACTTTTGAGTTTTGTTCTAATTCCAATAAGAACAATTAGTGCTACACAATATCTGAATTGAAACTACAATGGTGAGAGGATTTTGCTTACCTCTATTCATTTGTCTAGTTGCAATATTATAACCACCCATATAACTTGACGAACTCTTGGCTATTACGTCTGAAGGTGTGGCGCCAAATCCATAAGCCAACGTACCGGATCCATCAAGCTCAGATGAAGCTGCTTGCCAAGTAGGATCTCCATAGATTGAATTACCTCCATATGAATCTGTATAATTTCCATCGTATACATTGGTTGGTGTTGCAAATGAAGTATTGACGGAGCTAACGCCACTGCTCCTTCCATAACTACCTGGAACTAAACCGAAACTATTCTCGCCAATTCCATAGCTCAAATTTCCAGTAGTAAAGCCTGAATTATTGCCCACACCATGCACTGCAAGTGGAGAGGAGGAACCCACCCAATTAAGGCTATTGTTGCCAAAACCGCCAACATTGCCGCTAGTAGAGGTCATGTAGGAATTAGAATTTGCAGGAGTGGTGTTATAGTTATGATCACCATTAGTCCATATATTACGAGCTGTTGAACTAAATGATAAATCAGGATTACCACTACCCACACCATACGTAATAGGACTGCCAAACCTGCTTGAGTTTGCATTATAATATGGGCTTATGGCTCGACCATAATTAAAGCTACTATTGAAATTAGAGTTTCCACCATAACCTAAATTAGTCCCAGACTCAAAATTCATTCCAATTCCATAACCAGGATTGAAAGGAGGGATTCCTTTCCGACCACCAGTCGATTGTCCCAACCGGACATCCATTCTCATTCCATAGCTGCCTGTAGAGCTTGGGTTGAAACCAGGACTATATCCATTAAGAAGGTTGTTGACCCTATTCAAACCATAGTTATAGCCCCCCATTGGTAGCCGCACATTAGGTCCTGGAGAGAGCTCCTTCGGAACGGCTCTCTTGACCTCCACCATCTTTCCATTAAGTTCATGAAAGGTTTTGAGCAAAACTTTATCTATGGCATCTTCTGAGTCAAATGTTATGAAACCAAACCCTCTTGGTCTCTGAGTGTTGTGATCATACATTACAACAACATCTGTAATGGCCCCAAACTGCTCAAAATATTTCTTGAAGTCTGCATCTGTTACAGTGGAGGCAAGGCCTCCCACAAATATTTTTTTGGTGCGTCCAGGACCAGGAGATCCTGGGAGGCTGCCAATGTTTCTATTAAGTATGAGTTGATCATCCCTCGGTACAGCCTTCTTCGCTTCCACCTGTTATTCATCATTAAAAACTAGAATTACACGGAATGTGCATAAGAAAACAGATGAAATTCAATCTCAAAAGAAAATAGAATAAAACACACTTAAAAAGTAACAGTTATATTGCAATGTATGTAAGATTGATATCGACTTAAGATTGATCAAGTGTTTTCTTTTTCTGTCCACCAATACGTCAAGCATGCCCATTTAAAATATAGATGTACGTTTCAAGTTTTCAACGTCCAATTAAAACAAAACGATCAGGAAATGCTACTTACCATCCGGCCATCGATCAGGTGCTTCTCCAAGACGACCCTCTCCGCAACAGCGGGGTCGGCGAAGACGACAAACCCGAAACCGCGCGCACGACCAGTGGTCCGGTCCTTCATGATCACGGCCTCAACAACTTCCCCGAAGCCCTTGAAATACTCCCGGAGGCGATCCTCATTGGTGTCCCAGGAAATCCCCCCAATGAAAAGTTTTCCGAGATCCGACTCCATTCTCCCTCCTGCAATTTACAACGCAATATTCTCAATCAAACAATCACAAACACACAATTAGAGGAGCAATCTACCATCCAACAACCTATTCATCGCGAATAAAATCACGACCAACTAGATCCAATCCGATACAAAAATCCACTAACCAGACAACGAAATTCGATCTATTCAACAACCGATTCAATTTTCACCAAACCAGAATAACTACCACAGCGGAATAACCGATGCATACTACATGCCCAACATATGACAGATTAAACGAATAAACCCAACGCAAACCGCATCCAAGTTCAAAACCCAAGCCCAAGACCAAAAAAGCATTGCAGTATAACTGCTGAACAAAAAGCACCCCGTAAATCAACAGTGGATGCTCAGATCCTTGTCCGATCGAACAGAAACGAAGTAAAATTCGGAAAAAGCAAGAAAACGGATGAAAACAAATGGAAAGCAGAAGGAATCGAATTGAACGTGAAATATTCACCGCTCGATCTGCGCTCCACCTTCGGATGAGAACACGAGAGAATCCCCTCTCTTTTCTCAGACTAAGATCTGGTTGTCTGCATCCGCAGATCAGAGGAGCTCCTCATCGCCTTCTCCACCTCTCTGTTTCTCTCTCCGTTTATATAGCTCTCTTCGTTTCTCTTCGATTTTTTTTTTCTCAATTTTTAATATATTTCTTTATTTCCTCCGCTCGATTCGATTAACGAAGAAAAAAATTGAAGGGGAAGCCGAAACGATATATAAGAGAACGGAGGGCATCAGATGTAAATAAGATAATAAGAAGATGGCCTGGTGGCGTAAAAACAGCTGTCAATAATAAAACACGAAACAGCTCTTATTCGCATACGTGGCATCATTGCAATAACTAACGTGATCTGTGCCCCACAGCAGTAACGAGTCGCAATTTGCCAGCTAAATTTGGACAAATATTCCTCTTAAAAATGCGACAAATTTATCGGAGAATAAAATTCCTATTTTTGAAAACTACTAACTTTTCAGTTTTCATTCAAAAACAACTATTTAATAAATATATATATATATATGACATCTTTCAAGAAAACTGCTCCTCGAATTGGCTTCACGCCTTGCCAATTGTGCCTCCTATTGGCTCCGTGCCTTAGCCCTGGGATTGAACTGTCTCTGATACTACTTGTCACGAGAAAAACTTTGCTTTAGTCACCCGTGCGGCCTTACCACTCATCACTAGTGCTAAGGAGCCTTAAACTCATACAATGCTTGGTTAGAAAGAGAAAAGTTGAATGAGAAAGCTAACTATAACAAGGAAAGTTATAAAAAGAAAGGAATTTGAGGGGTGTGAGGAGATAATTACAAATGAAAAGGGAGGGTCCTATTTATGACCGCCCTCCCATGCCTAAGAACAATATGTAACTCCCTCCTTGATACATGAGTATGGAGTTATCTAGAATACTCCACACCATTTCTTACAATATACCTACATTATAATATTCTGGAGAGTTCTATAGTATCTTATAATACAGTCCAAGTATCCACACCATTTTAAAACATTCTAGAGTATTATAGAATCTTCTAGAAAACTCTAGGCCTATCTAGTACCTTCCAAATTTTTCTAGAATCTTCTGGAACCTTCTAAAGTCTTATAGAATCTTATAGAACCTTCTAGAATGCTCTATAATCTTCCCGAACCATCCAATGTCATGCAACCCCATTTAGGAATTATTCTGAAGAACTTCTTTTCCTTCACTCGACATGTCACACTTAAGGGGTTTAGCCAAACCTCATTGGGCATGACATTCTGCCACATATTCTCACGATGTCCTCATCGAGAACATTCTTGAAGTTATGTTGAAGGTCCTTGGACTGCCACATGGTCATCCTTCATATATGGCTCCCTTGGTCCTTCACCTTTTCTCCTAGGTTGGATTCATTGTCGCCTGCTAGAGCATCAAGTACTTGCGACCTCGGGTTGGCTTCCTCATTCTCTATTGGTGCATCAAGGACTTGGGATCTCCCCTCTTGTCTTGTTGCCTCCTCAGGTAGCTCACATGGAAAGGCATTTGAAGGTACTTTGAAGACTTTCGTCATCCCAATTTGCAAGCCTTCAATGTGTGCCTCCAACTCATCCCCATGAGTTGGATGGCCCTCCCAGTCCCTTGGGATGTCTTCCAAGACTGAAAACTCCTCACCCTTGGAGTTGTCTCCTTCTGGTCCTTACTATTGTAGCACCTGCATAGCATCCACCTCATCACCGCTCTTCCCATTCTCCACCCCGGCCCTTAACGCTTGGCTAGGAGCATTGAAGCTATCTTAGGACAATTCCTTTCCCAATGAGGTCATACACAAATAAAGCAGACATTTTGAATCATTCTTCGTTCCTTACCAACCGTTTTCTTGCTCCTTTTATTTTCCATGGCTCCTGCGATGTCATAGCAAGCCTTCTCTTGACCTGGCTCATTTGCCTCTCTCGCTGCTCTCGCTCCAACACATTGAGTTCTGATGCAATCAAAAATTTGGGAGAGGGACCCAAATTTTTGATCACAAAAAGAAATACTTCATATATAAAAGAAACTTACTAAAATACCCAAAAGAATACAAAATACGACAATTGAACCAAAACAACTTTACTTTAATAAAATAAAATGACTTACAAACTTTTAAAATTAAAACGACTTACAAACTTGACTCAATCACTTGACGACACCCTAAAGTTGCTTCACTTTGAGAAGAAGGATACATATGGAATGGCACTTGCGGAGAGACGAAAGAGATTAGAAGCCCGAGAAGAAAGAGGAAAAGCTCGCAAGCTTTCCTAGAAGAGGAGAGGAAGAAGTGGCATAGCTCGCAAGCTATCCAAGAAAACCCTCAGGTTTCTTTCCAAAAATCATTCACATAACTCTTTATAACTCTCCTCAAAATATCTCATATATATAGGCCATAGAGGGGAAACATAACAGCCAAAAGCTCCCAAATTCCCATATAGAAATGAAAGGCCAAGAGCCATTCCCGCTGAAGTCCCAAGAGCCACCTCAAATTCCAATGAATAAAGCCACGGAACCAGCCAGGAACAAGCACAAGCCACGGTTTCAGCACAGGAAACCAGAAGGCAATCAATTCACGGTCAAAAAGAGGAGCCAGAGCAGTAAAGTAGGCAGCCACCCGAAGAGGCAGCGACAAACCCGAAGAGAGCAGCAGCCCGTGTGAGAAAAATCCAGAGAAGAAAAGCTGCAGCAACTCCCATTCAAGAAGAATGTGAAAGATCAAATTCCACCCACCAAATCTTGCTCCCAACATTAATTTTTTATAACTAAACATCAGCTCATAATGAGCTATTCCTCCACTAGATATTAATGAGCTGGCATTACTAATGTTTCAACAACTAAGCTCAAAACCGAAATCAGCCAAGGCTCCATAGAATTGTGTTGACCCCCCCTTTGCCTACATCAAATTCTCCCCTAGAGAAAAAATGGTTGCTGGTGGATGTATATGTCAAGGTATGCCTATAAACCTTATGTAGGCTCCCAACTCGAGCTAACATCCCATTGAGCTTCCTCTTGGGCTCTCCATGCACCTCTATCTTGTCCATTAAGGATTTCTCCAGTCGAGACACCATGCCTCTTCTCAAAGCATGGATGGTGGAACCTTATTCCACGAGGCTACTCTCATCTTCACCTTTGTCATCCATTTGAGCCCCGCAGCTCTTATCCATCGAGTTAAATGCAAACCTAAACTAGAGATCCTCTCTTTGGATTTCTCCCATGGCTTGAATGCTGGATCACACTGCTCATCCATTCCTTGGCTTCCCCCATGATGACTCCACACTTGCTATACCAATCATGCCTCCTATTTTTCCATCTAATGGGGGTTAACCAAATAATGCCCAAGGTCTTGAATACTCCAAAATCATCTTCAAGGTTCTAGGTCATGCTAAAGTGCATAAGCTTCAAGAAGACTCCAAGATTCTCTAAAATATTCTAGGCAACCTTATATAAACTATTGTGATATACTAGAATAATATGCAATATTTTAGAAGAAATATTTTCTCATGTATTCTAGAATATTCTCTACGCTATCGGGACTATAAATAATGGCCCCAATCCCTGATTTGGATCCATCCAAAAGTTTCCCAAGTTCTTAAGCTTTGTGTCAATAAAACATTACTTTACTTTCCACCTCTTTTCTCAAGTGTCCAAGTGTTCTTATCCTTGTGTTGTGAAAGTTAGGCTGCTTAGCATAGGTTTTGAGCGCTATAGTCGCACGAATGACTAAGGAAAGGTCATTGTGTGATTGTCTTCGACTACCAACTAAGAGATCTTATGTTCGAAACTTGAGTATTTGATATGTGTGTGAATTTATGTTAATTGACCTAAGTATCCCCTAAAAAATTATATGTACTTTAATACACACATTTATATAATAATTAGTTGTCGAGATGTTTGGCGGCGGCGGCGGCGGCAACCTCCCTTGATTTCCAGCTCGTTAGTCCCCTTACTCAACTTCGGCCGGGCCATTTCGCTGCCTTTGCTCGACCAGGCCCCAATTCTCTCTTATGGTTTTACCACCTACTTCGATTTCTCTTGTCATCACGGAGGAAAGCTTTCACGGAATTTTCTTCGTCATCAAATTATTTAAGGACAGTCATTGATGTATGATTTTTGTCTTCCCGACAATCTCAATCGGCTAAAGCGTATGATTGTGAACATTTTCACAGTAGTATCATCGATTTCTTGTTATCATGATGAATAGAATGTCGGCATTTTGCCATGGATTTTGTTTCTCGAAGTCTGAGAGCCTCCGGAGCTCATGATCGGATGCAGTTGGGATGTTCTTCTGTCGTTCCCATTGCTACGTTAGGCACGATAGAAGATTTGGTTGCAGAACTTCCACAAGGGGGAATCTAGTACTTTTTCATATACAGCCATTTGCCCTATTTTGCTCTACCACTGACGTCGGATCAGGGGATCCGAGGTCGGATTCTGAGAATGAGTGGGAAAAACTCCTCAAACCCTTTGATCTGGAAGAACTTAAAAAGTCTTTTAACTGGGTCACTCCCCGAAGGCTGTGCAAACTGCTTGAGCTTCCCCTTGACATTTCCACATCATTGCAAGTTTTTGATTGGGCTGGCTTGCAGAAGGGCTACTCCCATACATTTGACGTTTACTATATTCTGGTAAGAAAATTAGCTGAAGCTGGTGAATTCAAGATGGTGGAGAAGCTGTTACAGAGGTCAAAAGAGGAAGGAGTTGTTTTAAGAGAGCATTTATTTATTGTGATCATCAATTGGTATGGGAAAGCCGGTCTTCCCGGAGCGGCTGTCCAAGTGCTCGATGAAATGCGTGAGAAGTATGAATGCCAACCGACTTTCAGATCTTATAATGTGGCTCTGGACATTTTGGTTGGGGCTAATTGCCATAGGATAGCTGTCAACTTGTTCCATAGGATGCTTCATAGAGGTGTGTTTCCCACCACTTTCACGTTTTCAATAGTGATGAAAGCTCTTTGTTTGGTGAATGAGGTGAACTCGGCACGCTCGCTTCTTGATAAAATGGGAAGGCATGGATGTGTTCCTGACTCAATAATTTATCAGACTTTAATACATGCTTGTTACAAGGAGAATAAGGTTCAGGATGCTTTACAGCTTTTGGAGGATATGCTGTTGATGGGTTGTTCCCCTGATGTTAATACATTTAACGATGTTATTCATGGGCTTTGCAAAATTGGCTATGTAGATGATGCAACCATATTGGTCGAAAGGATGGTTCTTCGAGGATGCTCACCAAATTCCCTGACATATGGTGTTTTGTTACAAGGGTTGTGCAAGAAAGGTGAAATTGATGAAGCAAGAGCAGTATTAGCCAAAGTGCCCAATCCAAATGTGGTTTTGTTTAATACTGTCATCAATGGATTTTTCACTGCAGGTAGGTTGTTAGAAGCAAAAGCTCTTTATGATAATATGACACAAAATGGTTGTAATCCAGATGTTTTCACTTATAATATCGCGATTAGTGGGCTCTGCAAGGAAGGAAGGTTAGGATCAGCTATTCATCTTTTTAAGGAGATGGAGGCTAAAAATTGCTTGCCAAATGTGATAACTTACACGATTTTGATTGATGGATTTTGTAAGGATGGTCAGTTAGGTGAAGCCAAAAACATATTGGAGGAAATGTACTCAAAAGGCTTCAGCCTTAATACAGTAGGATACAACTGTCTCATCTGTGCTCTCTGTAAGGACCATAGGATTAATGAGGCCATGAAGCTTCTTGAAAGGATGGGGGAAGAAGGTTGTAAGCCTGATATAATTACATTTAATTCTCTTATACATGGTCTTTGCAAAGTTGATCAACTGGATGAAGCCTTCAATGTTTATGGAAACCTATTGCTGGAGGGAGTTGTTGCTAATGGTGTGACTTATAATACATTGATTAAAGCATTGCTGATAAAGGGAGAGCTACAGAAATCTTTGAAACTTGCCAATGATATGGTGTTGCATGGTTGCTCGGTGGATGTTATCAACTTCAACAGACTGATAAAGGCGCTTTGCAACAATGAAGGCGTTGAGGCAGGATTAGAGCTGTTCGAGAAGATGAGACAAAAAGGTATCTGTCCAAGTACTATTTCCTGTAATCTTCTTATTGATGGGCTCTGTAAGAAACGAAGAGTGCAGGATGCTCTAGAATTATTAGGGAAAATGCTTCAGCTTGGTTTCAAACCAGATATAGTGACTTATAATAGCCTGATAAATGGTATGTGTAGGAAGGGCGCGATGCATGCAGCTCTTAACCTCTTAGAGAAGCTCCATGCTGAACAAATTGTTCCTGACATAGTTACATATAATATTTTTATTAGCTGGTACTGCAAGGCAAATTTGATTGATGAAGCAAACAAGCTCCTAAATAGAGCCGTGAATATTGGAATTACACCCAATGCCCGCACTTGGGATGTTTTGTTACACAATGTCCTTCAGGAATCAATCAATATTGTATCACTTCTGCAGCTAAAGCCAGATTACACTCATTGAAGTTCTCAGTAGAACCACAGTCAAGGGGCTGTAATTCTCTTATGCAATGTAATTTGACTTGATATGATATGTCATGGAGCATCAGTAGTGGGCTACTGGGCTGTTAGGGTGATTCTAACGCCCTCTACAGCTCATGGGGTTCTTGAAAGAGAGCTGCAACTCTTTGCTGCAATGCAGAGGTAATTGTTGGCTCTTCATCTTTGCAGCTAAGAAAAGTTGATCTCATTATAGATTTTTTTCAGGTCTGCAGATATTCACTATCTTACTTTTCACCTAGAGAGCTATATGTAATACATTTGAAAGGCATATATCAAAGATGAGTAAAAATCTTTTTGAAGATACAAGCATGTACATTTAAGTGTTTTATTTAAGGATTTCGTTTTCTGGATGCTAAAAGGTTCAAAATACAGCTACACGGCATGGATAGGAAGACCAAGGTTTTGAACCGAATGTTTTATGTGCATTTGCACATGAATATTTTACTAACTGATCTGTGAATTTTTTTTACATATCCATTAATTTTATTGAGGAAATGCAGCAGCACGATTTAGCTGCTAAGCAATAAGCTATTGAACTTTACATTGTATTTCATTTGATAGAATCAGCCAATCCGAAACCGTTAGTTGACAGTTGCTCTCCTATTTTAAAGCTGGTAATTACTAATGCGGAAATCTGTCAAGAAAATATGCATGAGTTCAGTAAACTCCTACATCAGCGTTTTGCTGCTATATTTCTCTACAACTAGTTCAGAACATTCCTGCTCTCCTTCGTGCCTTCGCTCCAAGTCTTCACAGTCCTCTTATGATTCATCTAATGGGATGATCGTACCATGCTAGGTGTACCTGAGAATTCAAAGTTGCCTTGTTAACCTCCATCCTATAACTATTCCACTATTGTTGTTGGGCTTCAGCGGCTAAGTCTAAGGACTCTAGAAACTATATAAAGGGTATCTAGGTTTGGCCTAGGAGGGCTAGGCTCATCACAGGGTGGTCAAGTTGGTAAGGACCTTAGATTGGCTGAGGCATTGACCTAAGGTCTTGCGAAACTAGCCTAGGTCTCTCTAGTGCAAGCTATGCGCTACTATTATTATATACATGCTCCAAGTCTATGCACTAGGGAGTTTGGATGTTGGAGAAGTAAACCACGTAGCAAACATAAACAAGAAAGAGAAAATGCAGTTGAAAGAAAGAACATCAGGATGCAACGCGGAAAAGCTAGAAATCCAGAAAAAACTCAGAGCCCGCCACACCCAGAAATTCACTATGAAATTTTGGGAGAAATAGTACATATTTCTCTTCTCTCTTGCTCTCTCCTTTTCTCTATTCTATCTTGCACAGTTCTCTTACAAACAAACAAAGAGAAACATAAAAAATCCACAAAGGGACTCAAACCTTAATGAAAAAACGAGAAAAAAATTATCAGGCTGTCTTGCAACGCCAAGTTTGGATCTCCATGATGCTCCACTTTGTGTTTCCAGCCTGCTTGATAGCGTCGTCATACTGTGTCCGATTATGACAAGACTAACCCCAAGATCCGATTGGAGAATTACTGAAACAAAAACTTCCATGTATATACTACACAAAGCCACTACTGAATGCAATATAAAGTGGAAGACTACTGAATCTCAAAAATAATTTTTTATATATCATCCAAACACATACAATCTAAAGTATTTATAACAATCCTTAACAATAGAGAAAAATAAAATAAAAACCATGCTTGCAAAAAATCAACTAACAAAAAGGCCATATCTGCAAAACAGATCAGAGTCTGCTATTCAAATTACTCAGTTCCTTCTTTACCCTTTTCCTTGCGTAAAAACGGAAGCAAAAATAGAAGTGAGATAACACGACTCAGTAGGCTATCGTAGTCTAAAACATAAATCAATACCTGAAACCAAAATAAAATTGAAAATACTATACTATAAAATAAGCTTAAGTACTGTACGAAAAACTAAAAAATTGAAGCAGAAGTTGAAATTGAAACCAAATGAATTATAAGCAAATATTTACTTTATTAAAATGACTCTCAGCACAAATTTTTATATATCTTTATCAAGGCTTTTAAAACCGGACCGGTCAATGAACCGGAAGAAGGAGGGGTTAGAGGTTTGATGGTTCGACTCACGCAAAGCCGAAGCAGCAACGAAGAAATGGCGACGAGGAAAAGCCAAATCCTGATAAACGTATAAATCACATTTTACCTCCATTTTGAACTCAATTACGGATTTGCTAATCCTATAGTTCGGCGTATTTAAGGGATTTGGACGAAAAATACCCGTCGACGTCTTCGCCTGCAGCTTCAATTGTTACTTCCTCGTATCTTTTTCGTCGAGGGTTTCCGGTATAAGCAGAAGGGCGTGAAATACGAAGGTTTTCGACCCCACGATCCCGTCGACGCCTCGCAGCAAGCTCCCGTCGGGACTTCCGATACGCCGAAGAGGAAGAAATACACGATATGTCCGAAAGCCGAATGAGTTTAGGGTTTTATTTTTCTCTCTCAGCCGCGAAATCGCACTGTAGCTGAACCGGATGGTTTTCGGAAACCGGACGGTTTTCGGAAATCGGAACCGGTTCGGCGGTTCAGCAGTCGAACCGCCGGTTCGAGCGGTTCAAAACCGATTCTGTGCAGAGCCAGTTCTAAAATGAACCGTAACCGGCCGGGCGGCCGGTTCGCGGTTCAACCGGTTGAACCGGCCGGTCCGGTCCGGTTTTAAAAGCATTGATCTTTATAGTTTCGTTAACAAAATCCCACCTCGATATCCCGCAGGCTGCGACACAACAGAATTTCACCTCGGTTGCCCACTGGCACCGACATAAAGAAATCCTACCTCGGTTGCCCACAGGCGCTGACATCACAAAATCACACCTCGGTCGCCCACTAGTGCCGGCATAACAGACTTCCCACCTTGGTCGCCCATTGGCACCGGCATAACATCACATCATATCACATCCTCACACATTTCTTTCACTATTATGCACATTTGCTGAGCATTTCATTAATTAAAGCATAATTAAACTTATTTAAAAAATTATCAAAATGTCTTAACGACAGGCAATAGAAATACTACTAAGCAAAAATGCACAATTTTCAAACATAACTAAATTACCATAGATTATTTAAAACATCATTATAAGACATTAATCGTAATATGTCACTATTTTTCAGAGTCTGAATTATATTTTATTCAATACAAACTGTACAAAATCCAAAACACATGGTAAATTTTTTTTCAAAAAATACTCAAAGTATTCATAATCACGAGCTCTATAACATATAAAGTTACGCGACAGAAGTTCTACCAATATAAAATTATTCTCATTTTTCGATAATGAAAATGTTAATTTTATCGAATAAATCCTAGAAACATCGAATTATTGAAAATTGAGATAGACAAAATGACATCTACCTCGAGACGAATAACTTTTTCAACTAGTCCGACAACTAAAAATGGCCCAAAGAAACTCAAAATCCTTCATTTTCTCTCCAAACCCTCTCTCTTTCTCTCTCTACTTCGATTGGCTGCTCGATTAAATGCAATGAAATAATAAAAATATTTAAATTTAATGTGTTGTTAACGGACTAGCGCTGCGGCGCTAAATTCGAGCACTGCGGCGCTAGTTCAAAACTCAATTTCCAGAGTTGGGAGCATTGCAATGTCACTATTTTGTACCTGATACTGTAGCAGCGCTGATGCACTCGGACACCTTGCCCTGAGACGCTCAAATAGTAATGTTTCTTAAATTTCACCAAAATTCACACCAAATACTTGGGACTAATTCTGGAACACAAGAAATCATTTTTCATGCATAAAAAAACTCCCAAAGATGTGCAAATGGGTTCAAAACTAAAAAAAATTAATGATTTATCATTCTCCAATCGAGTCAACTTGATGTAGAACTATATGTTTTAAAATGATGAAATAAGAATTTGCACGATTTCGTGATAAGAGTAAATAAGATTAGAATTATTAACAAATTAAAACGATCAAATAAAACATAAGAGTGGTCACTTCCGTTTAGGCTAAGTTACACACTAAGCACTTGGATTATCAAAACAACATCGAAAATCAAGTCATGCAAATAGAATAACCTTCAACAGAAGTCCCTAATCTAACAATAAGATTATAAGCAAATATAATTCACTCAACCCAACGTTATAAATTCCTACGTTTACTAAGCTTAGGCAAAGGTAAAGCACGGCTCCTTGTGACTTGTCATCACCTACAAGATTAGGGGATTAGGATGGTAATTGAAAAGAGGGGAGAAGTTCACCTTAGTCAAAGTCGGGAAACATTTAGCCGAGATGTTGAAGAACTTCGTTGTAGTTCCCTTGAAGGTTCAACTTAGAGAGAAAGAAGTTTCTCTAGTGTTGAAGGTGGTGAGCATGCTTGTTGGTACTTCCCTTGGAGGCTCCAATTGAGAGGGAGGATCTTATCTCAATAACCCTTAAGGAAGAAGGGGGATGAAGTGGCCGGCCATGAGGGAAAGTGGTTTGGGAGCTTGGGTTCAGATTTGGGAGGTTTAGGTGGAGGGAAATTTCAATTCAAACACCTCCTAATTATCCTCTTGATTGAGAGTAATTAAAGGGAGGGAGAGAAGAGAGAGGGGGTAAGAGCTAGGGGCCAGCGATTTTAATGAGTGGGGAGGGATTTATGAGGAGGTGATGAGTTCCTAAATTTGGGCTTAAAGATTAGGAAAGATTTAATGGGATCCAAATTAAGTTGAATTTCAAATTGAATTCCATTAGGAAACTTTCCTAAAATAGATTAATACAAATAGGAAAGGATTTAAATCTTGAATTTAATTAATTTGGATTCCAAATTGGTTCCAAATTAATTTTAACTAAATTAGGAGATCCAAAGTAAGACGAGTGGAGTGGGGCCGGCAGTTTAGCCAGATATCTAGGCTCTCCTAATCCAAGGGAATCAGGATATTCAACATACACATATCATATAGTCACTCGATCGGTCTAAAGGGGAAAAATAAGGAGATAAGTCTTCTCATACCAAGCATGCGTGAGAGAAAGATGAAAGCGGTGCCATCAGCTTGATGCAGATGGGTGGAATTTATAGATTTTGAAGAGTGGAGAGCTTGCCCACTGATAATTCATGCAACGGTATGCTAGTACCGCCACTCGTTGACCCTAGATCTAGAAAGGATGTACTGTATATTAAGTACTAACGCCGCGACTTAACTAGTGCAAGACACTGTGAGGGGACTTATAACTTGAACCCCAATAGGGATCTAAGCAGCCCCGAGCTGGATTTATCACCCTGCTTGGAAAGAAGTACCAACTAGACTCCACCCATCATTTTAAATCCACGAAATTCAGTCTTACGCAAATACAAGAGTGGTGGGAGGCACATAAGGGAAATGGGCATCAAGCCTAATCATGAATGGTACTATGCGATACAAAATGAACTATTCCTTTATGTGACAAAAAAAATCTATATGATTTGACTCAAAGCTATGCATGCATGGTATGACTAATCAGAACTAGCTGATAGTCATTGTGAAGTGAACAAGACTTGAAATATTAGTTACATTTTAAAAAGTGACCCACAAGAGATCATGCATTAGTTTTTGAAAAATGGGTTGAAAGTTTTACCAATAGAAAGTTATCCTCGTTTTTTGGTAACGAAAATATAAACTTTATCGAATAAATCCTAAAAACACGAATTATTGAATCCTGAGATAGGCAAACGACACTTACCTCAAGGCAAACAGCTTTTCAAACTAGCCCGACGGCTAAAAACGGCCTGAAGCAACTCAAAATCCTTCATTTATTCTCCCAAACCTTTCTTTCTCTCACTACTTCGGCCGGATGCTCAATTAAATGTAATGGAATAGAGAAAATATTTTAAATTTAAATTATTTTTAATGGCCCAATATTGCGACACTCAATCCGAGTGCTGTGGCGCTAGTTCAAAACTCAAATTTTAGAGCTGAGAGCACTGTAATATTACTATTTGACGCCTGACACTGTAGCAGCGCTGAGGTGCTCAAACAGTAATATTTCCCATATTTTGCCGAAAATCACATTAAATATTTGGAACTCACTCTAGAACGCATGCAATCGTTTTTATGCATAAAAATACTTCTAAATACATGCAAATGAGTTCAAAACTCAAAAATTAAAAAAATTTCAATTTTCCAATCGATTCAATTGGTCTGAAATGAACTTTAATCCTGAAGGTCTCACAACAGCGCTAGTGTTTGGAGCACTGCAGTGCTTCCCTCTCTATCTGTCTCCAATCAAACTATATAGCACAAAAGTGCTCGAGTACACAGCATTGCACGATGCATGGTTGTACAAAAAAAAAATCTTAGGTGATCATTAAGGAGAGCAGAGGTAAAGATGAATAGGAAGATGAAATAGTATTAGTTGAAACATAAGGTTACATGAGAGTGTATATTTATCTTAGAGAAGGGTACAAGTTGTTAGAGAGAATCAAATATTCTCTGTATAGAGCGGCTGCAGTAGAGTATGTTAGATGGCAAGCATAGTGAAGAGATAGTTGTGTGATAAGCTATTTTGCTTCTCAACTGTTTGGTTTTGTATTTGGTTGACAACCCCCCTCAAACTGATGATTCAAATCGTAAGTATGGTCATGAGTAAATGAAAACGGGTTGAAGTCAGCGGCTTAGTGAGAATGTTTGCAGGTTGATCAACATAATTTATGTGGTGGACAACTATTTTATTGGACTGGATGTGTTCCCTAATGAAATGATAGTCATTCAATGTGCTTAGTGCTGGTGTAGAACGCATGATTATTGGTGAGGGCCATTGCAGATATATTATCATAGTATAGGGAGGTGGGTGTAGCTGTGGGAATGTAAAAGTCTATTAACAGACGTCTTAGCCAAATTATATCAGAGGTGGCACGCTCTATATTCAGCTTTTGTTGATGATTTGGCTACCATAACCTACTTCTTCACACACAATAGGAAATGAGTGAGTCACCCATAAATGTATAGAATCCAGAAATAGACTTTCGATCCATCGAGTCTGTGGCCCAGTCAGAGTCTGAGTAGCTGTTGAGTTGGTGATTGTCGGGGATGAGTGGAAGGTCGAAATGTGTTGTGCCTTGAATGTAACAGAGATGACGTTTGAGTGACTGATAATCAGTGGTGGTGGGTTGGTGTATTCGCTTACAAATCTGATTGGCGGCGAATGCAATGTCAGGTCTGGTAATGATTAGATATTGCAGAGATCCTACAAGCTTGCAATAGAGAGTGGGGTTGGGGAATGGTTGGATGGGAGGAGAGCATTTGGAGGATTTGATGGATATGGGTGTAGGTGAGGATTTACAGGAAGTAAAGCCGGGGTATAATGTGTTTGATTTAGGAAGTAGTCGTTGGCAGTGGGAAGCACTTGAGTGCCAAGGAAAAAGGAAATGGGGCCAAGTTCCTTGAGGGAGAAGTTGGTTTGCAGTTTGTGGATGATAGCTGAGATAGCTGGTTGGTTCTTTCCTAAAATTAGGATGTCGTCCATATATATAAATATGTAGATTTGAATGTGTGGAGTGGTATGGATAAGCAAGAATTGATCAAATTTGTTGAAGTGGAAACATGCATTAAGTAAAAAATTAGTAAGAGTAGTAAACCACTGCCGAGGAGCCTGTTCGAGGCTATAGATTGCTTTGTGAAGTTTGTAGACATAATCTGAATGGAGTGAGTCCTTGAATCCAGGGGGTTGATGCATGAAGACTTCCTTATATAATTGGCCATATAAGAAGGCTTCAGAGATGCCAAGCTGAAGAACTGGCCATTTGCGAGAGGCAGAGATAGTGAGAAGAACCCGAATGGTGGGCATTTTGGCGACTGTTTTGAATGTTTCAGTGTAATCTATTCCAAATTGTTGTTTGAACCCTTGTGCTGCGAGTCTGACTTTGTAGCAATCAATGCTGCCATCAGACTTCAATTTGGTTATATAAGTCAAGCAACAACCAAGGATATTCTGATGAGGTGGTTTGGGAACAAGTGACCAAGTGTCTTGCTACTGAAGGGCGAGAAATTCAGAAGACATAGCAAGTCTCTAATGTGGATGTTTGATAGCTTGAGAGTAGCATATGGGGGTGAGGATGGATGTAGGGGTAGCAAGGAGGACAAAAATCTGTTTGGGTTTGGAATGTCCTGTTTTGGAGCGAGTCTGCATCTAATGAGGAGGTAGGGCAGTGGATTCAACCAGTGAAGGCAGCAAGGTTGTAGGGGAGGGAATGTCAGCTATTAAGGATGGAGTGGAGGGCTGATGGGGACATCAGCTCGTGGAAGGTTTATCAGAGGCGTGGCCGCCGATCTACGGCCACGATCGAGTCTTTGTATTTCTGAGTACTTTATGTTATTTAATTATTCATGTATTTTTCTATTTGCTTAGTGCCATTTTAGTTTTTCCGTTTGTACCCCTTTAGTGGGAGTTGTCGTATGTGAGCCCAAAGGGCAAGTTAGTCTTTTATTTTCTTGAGTCTTTGTACTTGGCTATTTATAGCCTTATGTCTTTTGTTTTGAGGTGATGAATGATTGCTTATGAATATTTTTTCTTGGTTGAGTTTGAGAGAGAGCTTGAGAGTTCTAATGGAGAGAGATCCCTAGGAGAGGGAGATTTGCGCAATATCCACCAATTTAGATAAGTCGGGTTCGTGTTTCTAATCCCTATCTTCTTCCCCTTGCCTCCTCCTCCATCTAGCCGCCGTCTCTCCTCTCACCCGAGCCACATTCACCTCACCCGGTCATCCCCCTCAGCTCCACAGCCAACCCCATCCAACCAAACCAACTTTCCTCTCCCAAAACCGGTGGCTACCTCATACTAGCCGCCGGCCACAAAGGATTTCACCTCCCTCCCTTTTCATCCTTTATTTCCTATTATAAATTTAATAATATTTTGGATTAAGTTTGAATGCAAATCCAAGTGGTTTAAAATTCAAATTATTTCCTAATACACAAAATCTATTTTAGGAAAGTCTTTAAATTCTTTCCAATCAATTCATAATTGATTGGGATTTTAATTGCCTTTCCTAATTTAAATATCCCAAATTAGCAATTAATAAAATAATTGCTCAAATCCCTCTCCCAAATATTGTCGCCGGCCCCCAACCCCCTCCCCTCCCCCCTTCCTTGGGTTAGGATTAGGAAATATTTCCTAATTCCTACTCTCTCCTCTTTGGAAATAATTCCCCTCTCTTGCCAACCGAAATTTTTTTTTTTAGCCCAAGCCTTTATTTACTTTCCAAAATATGAGAGTGGAATTAGGAATTAACTCCCTAATTTCCCCCCTTTATCCCACCGGCCCCCTTACAGATTTTCCCAAAATTTGTCCACAATACATTGCTCCCCTTTGGGAAAGAATTGGAGAACCAACCTGCTGCTGGCCGAAACTCTCAAGGCCCCAACTTAGAAGGAAATCTGAAATTTCTCTCATAATTTTGGATTAAATTCTGAAACTGTTTCGGATTTTTGGGAAAAGGACTTGGAGCTTGTTTCCTCTCTACATGCAAGAGAAACTTCTTTCTCTTCGACGAATTTCGAGACCATCAACAAAGTGGAAGGAGATTTATTCCCTAGCCCCAATGAATGGCGGATCCAGCAACTGAATATGGTTTAACATGGGACGAGGATGGTTTCACCGATATCCTACGCTCAACTTTCTTCGACGTGAGCCCAAGGATTGATCACACCGTCGAGGACTACTTGGAGCGTATTCTGGACACATTAGTGGAAGCCATTGATGAGCACTTTGAAGGCATTGAGTGGAGGATCTCCACCACTCATCAACGAAGGTTTCTCTTACTCCTTTTCATTATATTTTCCTAAATCTAACTTCTCTTGGAATTGATGACAGTCATGAAGGACGACTCCATGCCGCTCATGCTAAAGCTTAGTAAACGTGGGGTTTGAGTTCACCTTTATACTTTCTAATTCTTGTTGTTAGACTAGGGATTTCTTTGAAACTACTATTTGTCTTTGTATTGTTTTCATTCTTATTTGGAAGGCTTCAAATCTCTTGCTACGTAATTTAGCTTAAGCGGGTGTGATCCCTTAATTGTTTTGATTAGTTGTTTTAAACTGCTTCTAGTTTGTTCTGTGATTGTTCTAATCAAGAGTTGTGCAAAATCTAAATGAACTAAAATCATTTCATATTTAGTCCTGCATCAAGGGCGGGTTTGTTTGTGAAGGAGGTGAAGTTTGATCTGTTGAGATTTGAAGGGTGTATGTGGGAGGTGATATTGGATGGTATAAGGTGGAGGTAGGAATCAGGGTAACTGGTGAGAGATGAGGTGAGGGAGATCGAGGTGGGGACGTTGAGAATGGTGTGGGCTGATAGGGGAAGTTATCTTCATAGAAGATAACATGATGAGAGATACGTAGTTTACATGAGCGCAAGTTGAGACAACGATAGCCTTTGTGGGAGGTGGAATAACCAAGAAAGATGCAATCAGTTGAACGTGGCGATGCAATCAGTTGAACGTGGCTGAAGTTTTTGGGAGCTTAAGGGCTTTAGTCAGGGAAAACATAGACATCCAAACGTCTTAAGGTGATCGTAAGATGATGTATGGTTATGAAGTAGCTGAAATGGAGAGGCATAGTTGAGAACTTTGGATGGGAGATGGTTGATCATGTAGTTGGCAGTATGTAATGCTTCCATCCAAAACTTGAGGGGGAGATTGGCTGCATGTAGGAAAGTACGAGTGGCGTCGAGAAGATAACGATGTTTACGTTCAGCTAGGCCGTTTTGTTCTGTTGTATAGTGACAATTGAGTTGGTGAATGATGTCGTGAGTTGAGAGAAATTGTTGAAAGGGGTGAGAAAGGTATTCTCCGCCTTTATCAGATCATAACATTTGTATTTTGGTGTTGAATAAATTTTAAGCTATGTAGAGGAATTGCTGAAATTTAGTGAATATTTCAGCCTTTCTATGCATTGGGTACAACTAGCAAAAATGAGAGAAGTCATCGAGTAAAATAACATAATAGATATAACCATTAAGTGATTGCACGAGTACTAGTCCCCAGACATCAAAATATATAAGAGGAAGTGGTTTAGTAGTTCTCTTTAAACTTTTAGTAAAATGCAGTTTGTGGCTCTTGGCCACATTACAAGACTTGCAAAGAGGAGGGGGGAAGAAGTACATAGAGAGGAAATATGTTTAGCTAAAGCATATAAAGCTTGGTTGTGTGGATGTCACAATCTGGCATGCCATAGAGAAGCAAGGTGGAGTTGAGTGTGGAGAGCCACGGCAGGAGAGTGGTTGGAGAAGATGGGGTAGAGACCGTTACGGCTACGATCTCGAAGAATTACTTGGTTGGTTAGGGAGTCCTTGATGAGAAAGCCATTGGCGTCGGATGGCGTCGAAGAAGATAGAAAATCGATTATCAGTTGTAAGTTTATGAATAGAAAGTAAATTGTTTGTAAGAGAGGGAACGTGAAGTAAGGAATGGAGTATGAGCTTATGGTTGGAGTTCGGTAATGGAAGGAGACTTTGGCCACTGTGCTGGATAGGTATAGCAGAACCATTGGCAATGTAGATGGTGTCCTGACCACTATTTGTGGTGAATTATTGTAGATGATTAGGGTCAAAAGTGAGATTTGTGGGTGCTCCAGAATCAAGATACCAATCAGCTAATGTTGGTGGATATTGCTAAGTGAGAAGACCACAGGGGTTGCTGGTAGCTGGAGGAGAGTATTGAAGAATGCACCTGTGCCAATAGGAGGCAGCCGAGTGTTCAAGTTTTTGACATGTCTGACATATGAGGCGCGGCATGGAGGATTGGCGAGCACCACGAGCAGAGGAATTGGTGGGACGAGGAGAGTAGGATCGTGGGGAGAAGATGCGGCAATGACTGGAGCGGAAGGAATTGGTGGAGAGTTCACGTGAGGTAGAATTGTTGGTAGTCTGAAGGGCGAACGTATCTAGATGGGGTAACGATTATTTGGAGAGATCGTTCTGGATGTGAATTTCTTTACTACAGAGCAATGAATAGAGATTATCAAGGGAAATAGTGTTTAGTGAGGTGTGAATGGAGGTTTTGAAGGCTTGGCAAGAGGGGGGTAAATTATTAAGAATGTATCGTATGATATTCTTGGTATCAACATGTGATCCGACAGTAGCAATGTTGTCGACGAGGGCTTTAATTTGAGCAAGGTATTGTGAAATGGTAAGGTATTTCATGGTAATATGATGAAGTTTGTTCTTGAGTTGAATGACTCGGGAACGATTTGTGGGTTGCAACCGTTTCTCCAAGGTGTTCCAAATTTCATGGGTGGTTTTGAGGGTAAGAATATAGGGAAGAATGGGTGGAGATATAGTAGAGAAGAGAGCAACGAATAGGTTCTGATCGGTGAGCCTCCATAGTTGGAAATTTGGGTTAAGGGAGATATCACCAGTTAGTGAGGATGTATGCTTTGGCGAACAAGTTTGAGCACCGGATAAATCCATTGGCGGTAAATATTTTTAGAATCTGGAGTTTCCAGATGGGATGATTATCATTGTTAAGCTGAATGTTAACAATGTGTTTGAGGTTGGACATGAAAAACTTGAGGGAGGGAGGAATTGCCAGTTTACCAGTAGGAGAGCTGGATAAAATGGGCTAAGGTGAAGAACCATTGTTGTCCACCTTGTAGGTAGGATGATGAGCAGGCCGGTGGCCTTAGTGCTCTGATACCATGAGAGCAGAGGTAAAGAAAAACATGAAGATGAAACAGTAAATGTATTAGCTGAAACATAAGGTTACATGAGAGTGTATATTTATCTTATAGAAGGGTACAGGTTGTTAGAGAGAATCAAATATTCTCTGTATAGAGCGGCTGCAGCAAAGTATGTCAGATGGCAGGCATAGTGAAGAGATATTTGTGTGATAAGCTATTCTACTTCTCAACTGTTTGGTTTTGTTTCTGGTTGACAATTAACAGCTTGTCCTAATTTTTGGAATGATATTTTTGTTATCTTGCTTACACTGGATGCTAAAAATGTATTAGAAAGGCATCTTATAAAATAAATACTGTAATGTAAGATATTTTTATCTATTTTAGGTAGGAGTAGAAGTATAGTTGATGATAATTTTTTAAAAACAAGTTGGTTGAAATTACTGGTGTCTCAAGATAAAATTCATGGAACAAATATAAGGTTGGCTATGCTTATGAACTTGATTGCTAAGTAATGAAAAAGATCCAAAAATTTATTATTATTAAGCAATTATGAGTATGTTTTGTTAAGTAATGAAAAAGATCCAAAAATATTTTAATTGCTAGAGTATTAATATTTACATGAAAGTAGAAAGAAGCATTGTTAGCATACCTGCAGCCTGTGTGTATTGTCCCGTGGTGGGGGGAGAGCTGTTAAGTTATGAAAGACTCGAAATAAAGAACAAGAAAGGGTGATGAATTTGATAGGTATAAATTTTGAAGTTATGTGAAGTTGTGTAGTAAGCTTTTTATTTCATGAGAAAAAGGAAAGTTACTGTGGATTTACAATTATCCAGTAACAATGCTTTGAAGATCAGATGGGAGGAAGTTGACTTAGTAATTATAATGCTATAGCAGCTTTGTTTGTTTGACAGTGTCATAATTTTCTTATGAAAAAGTTGAATGTTTATAAATATTGAAACTTAATTCTGGCAATCTTCTTATTACAAAAAGGCAGAGTGCTTAACTTGTTCCATCAGTTCTAAATTGAGAGCATAGAGAGTAGTTTGGTTGAAACTATTTATTTAGTTCAAATGGAAGCATTGGAATATTGATATATATTTTTAAAGACTTCTAAAGCAATCTTTACATTGTCTTGTCTATTCCTTCATATATAGTTACAAGAAAAAAAGAAGGATGGATAGGTTAGATGTGTTCTTTTCTCATCAATTTCTTTTCAGGGAGATTGCTGAACTAATCATGATTTTTCCATCTTACATTGGATCTTATTCTCACTTTCAGCTCTTCCAAAGTTATAATCTTCCTTCATGTTTTTGCTTTTGTTAAGCAACTGAAGTGCTTTTTATCTCACTAGAAACCTGCCTTATCTTGGTTTTTCCTTTTCCTAACATTCTTAGCTTTCGAAATGCCTTCACCAGTCTGTTTACATGCTTCTTTTGTGAACTCCAACCGATTGAGCCAATGCAACTGTTAACTTGGCCAGGAGGGCTCCTTCTCTTCAGAGCTGTCTTCCCATTCACGCCAAATTGTCGAAAGCTTGGTGTCCTTGAAGCAATGTCGTTTGATCCCTTAAGTAGATTCTGCTTCTTAAGACTTTTCTTCAGTGTCACGAGTTCCTCTTCAAGAACCTGGATTCTAAAGCTTGTTGATTCATATTCTGCCTTGGCTAGCTCAGGCCTCTCTGTCTGATCTCTGCTCTTTGTAAGGGAGTCTAAAAGGGTTCCTCCAGTATCCTCTTCCTCAGTTGTTTGTTGATATGAATTTTTCCCCATATATTGGCTTAACAGAGCTTGGGATCTGGAGCTTAGAAGGCTTCCTGAGAAATCAGCAAATTCTGTGTACCTGAAGGATTCTGAAAAATCTTTGAAGGCTTGGTGTGTGTGCAGCTGCTGAACAGACAGAGCCTGCACTATTAACCGCAGTGGCATCAGCTCATTCTGCACTGCTTGAATACATATTGGTTGTGACAACTTGGGGCAATTCAAATATTTGCACACAGATGCCTTATCTTCAGATGATATATGCGGATGTTCCTGACATTACAGCAAATTATATGATAAGCTTTAGCTTTTTAATGAGAAGCCAATCAAAAGAGAACTAAACATATTTGGAATTGGAATTACCTGTAAAAAAACACTCATTGCTTTGTAAAGATGGTCATGCGTCTCTCGATCAGCCATTGAGACTGTTTCAATGAGCTTTATGAATCTGTTTGCATCGAGCTTTGGATCCATCGCAATGTAGGAAAGGTAACGGTCCCATAATTCAGCAACCATGGAGTCAGTGTTTATGAGAGAAGATCCACTGTAGAATGTCTCAGGCTTGGAAGATAAATGAAGTGAGAAGATTCTCTCCATCACCTTTACCTCCGCAGAAGATGCTATGGACTCTGAATCCAAGCCATTTGCAGGGAGCAGGAAATCCTCCAAACGAGCAAAATGCAGAAGTGAAGCAACTTCTTCTTCCAATGGAACCCTGCTCTCACTATCTAAACCAAGACTTACAGACCTTGAGAGCATGACAAAGTAAAAACTCACTGGGATCACCTTGCCAGTCTTATTGTCTCCCAGTGGAAGCAACTCAAGTAAGCCTTGAAGAATTGCAGAAACTTTCTTACTCACATCAATTCCATTGTTTTCATCGATGCTCTCCAAGTATTTGTGTGTCTTTGTTGAAAGCACCCATTTGTTAGCATACAACACAATTAATGGGCTAACATACTTCTCTTCCATGCCTTGATTTCTCAAAGATCGAATTATCCTATCGAAGAACTCGAAGGGGAGTGCTATCAGCTCCTTGACCCATAAATCCTGCCCCGCAATCTCCTTCGCCTTTTCGCAGTTCCAGACACGACCAACCATGACTTGTAAACTGAGGAGCGGGCCTTCTCTTTCTCTTTCAGGATCAAGTATCTCCATGCACGCCATGAATGCCAAGGATTCAATGCATCGGCTCACTACAAGAAGTTCCTCAGCCCATGGCAGCAGAATCTGACACTTTTGAAGAACTATAAGGGTATCATCCCAGCTCTGCAACACAACCTGGTTCAAGTAGAGGTCTGCCTGCTCACAGAGGTTACCAGAAGAGTACTCCTCTGTCATATCGAGAAAACTGGCGACGCAACGAAGTGCCAGGACATTGAAAGGGTCAAGAGGGAGTGGACTGTCATAGCAGAACAACATGGCTATCTCAAATGCTTCTGATCCTCCTGGAAAACTATCTGGCAGTTCGATCTCGAATGATTCAGACAAAGCCTTTCTGAAAAAACCAGATTTTGAAACAAGGGGAGCCTGCAGAAAGAGTAGAAATTGATTATGATGGCTTAAATTGATAGAAAGATAGAGTTTTCACTTCACCTCATGGAGATGAAAGATGTTGCCATCGACATGAACATGAACAGAAGCTGGTTTGTTGTTCTCTTTGCTCCTGAATTTGTTGGAAGAAACTTAGTGAGATAGGTAAAAGGTTACAGAAAAGGAAGGACGTAGAAGCTAGCCACTGAATTACCATGAGAGAATTCTTCTTCTGAGCAAGATGCTGGGGTTGGGACTTGAGAAAGGAGTTGGTGTTGAAGGACTTTCGATTCTTCCTGTTTGCTTCATTGCTTGCTCTGATGCAGAGTAGGAGTTTCGTACACTTGGATCAGCTAAGTAAATGAAAAAATGTAGTATTCATATCAACTAGTTAACTTAGAATTGGATTAAATAGGGGGGGACAGAAGAGATTTTAGAAGCTGTTGATAGCTATGAGGTTTACTCATGCATTTCAACTTGAACTAGTCATATGAGAGAGAGAGAGAGAGAGAGAGAGAGATTTAATCATTTTTTATAGAATATTAATTAATATTGAGCAATATTTAGCCAATTTTGCATTAATACTAAGATAATGCTTATACTAATAATACTAAGCCATTTCTATATCAATAAGCTGCCAAAGTAAATATTGAAAAGAAAACGGCCCCACAAACTGGCTCAATAAGCTGCCAAAGTAGGCTGATTTATACCATTTTTTTTTTAATTTTTTGCATTAGTCCAGCGGGATAATATGACAATCTAATCTATTTCAGCAATTTATTATTATTATTTTTGACAACTTATTCTACCTATTTTTATTTTTATTTATTTATTTGAGCTGTATAGTGTTACTCGTAAGAAAATTTAGATCAAAATATTCTAACTCAAATTTATTCAAAAATCATTTTTTTTATATATCAAAGAACTTTTATGTTATATTTATTAAAAATTCATAATTAAGTTTGAGTACGCATCTCATCCAAATTTTTAAAATTTTGATTTTAGGAATGGGTGTATTTATCCGCTGCTACCTCAGTTTGTGAGGCGCTTAGCCACTTAACTAATCTGTCGGCTGACCTAGAGAGGCACTCACTTCAAATAATCTTTTGACCCGCACTTATTGGGATCCTATTTAAGAGGTGTTATCGCTCAAGGGGATTCGAACACGTGTCATTTTTAAATATTAAGACATCCAAAATTAATTTTATAATAAAATTTGCCCATCAAAATCTTAGAGAGAGAGAGGAGATAGAGATAGAGAGAGGGCACACGAATGGAGGTTTGAATCCTATTTTCAAGGCTTAGAAGTTTGAATTAAGGGGGCCTAATTTTAGAGAAGCGTGGAGGTGTGGAAATCTATAGGGATTCACGTGCGGTGTACTTTTCTTACAAGCACCGCGGTGAGCGGAATCGAAGCATTCTGCGTGCTAATCTTCTTTCATCGCTTCAATACTAAAATCTCGCAGCGCCGGAGACGGCACGCTTCAGGAATTCCGGGGGGGTATTTTGGGGAACCGGGAGAAGTAGACAAGAATCGAAACGCGCTTTTAAGCTGTTACGTATCGGGATTTTCTCATCTCGCGATTTGATAATTTTGCCGTTCAAAGATCGCAATGAACAACTGTATAATTACTAATATTGTAATGTCATGTATTTATAATATTGTCCATATGGAAGTTAAATATGGCTACTTTATTTTTTAATATAATATTGGAGTGTCTCAATTTTTATCCACAAAATGAGTGAATTATCTTTTTGTTTTCATTTTATATAATTATTTGTATCATTCATATGTTTATATATAAAGGGTAAAATATTTCATTAAAAATATTTTATATATTTTTTTATTATGCATCTTTTTTTTTTTTAATATTTAGGATTGGGTCTAGCAAAGATAATTTTGATTAAATAAGCTTTTTATGAGTAATGATTATGGCTTCGTTTGAGATAGCTTTCTTACTTTTTTCTAAAACAATTTTTTAATATAAAAATTTCTTGAATTAGAAAATTTTGGACTAAGAAGTTGCTTTAGAAAGTTGTAAGAAAGTCGTCCCTATTAAAGTTTATATTATATGAAATTTTGGAGTAATATTTATTGGAGATAAATATTAAAAAAGATAATGTAACTTAAATGTGTATAATGAAAGGATAGAATAGATAATACTAACTTATGTAAATAAAACTAAGGAACTTAGTTAAGAGGAAAAGAGAAATTGAAGATAGTGCAAGTATTTTTATAAAATAGAGTTAATATTTCAAACAATAGTAGAGAGGAATAAAGATAAAATAATGATTTATAAACTTATTTCATAATAGTTGAGGTAAGGAAATGATGATAATGATAATGGATTTGATGAAAACTCTTATCAAATTAATTTTTTGTTTATTTTCAAACAAAATTCATGATTGATACATAAAAAATAAATTGGTTGATCGAGTATGAATTTTGATGCAATATGTTTATTGAAAACTTATGGAATCAAATTCAGAATTATCAGTATGCAATTGCCACAGACAAGGCTTGTACATATTCTCATATTGTGCATGTTGAAACTCGTTCACTATGAATTAGGTTGTTAAGTCTAAGTTTATGTCCCACGGCTAACAAGAGGGGGGTGAATTGGTATTTTAAAAATTAATCCCTCTTTTGAGTAATTTAAACCGAAATTAAAATTTAATGAATTTTTGTATAAATAGTTTTTCAACCACAGTTTTAAAACAGTAAATCACAAAAATAAAAAGGTAGCGGAAAAAATAAAGACACAAGATTTATAGTGGTTCGGTCAAAATCAGACATACATTTACTCCCTGAAGGCACCCTCCGAGTATTGCACTAATACCACTAGTGACTCTCCTTTTGCACCCACAGTAAGGCGGAGAAGCCTTTACAAAACTCTTTTCATCACTACCCGGTGAGGCAGAGAACTGTCCGTCCTTTTACACTATCCCCAGTGCTGGCAGAGAACCGTCCATCCTTTCACACTCCTCCGATGTCGGCAGAAAACCGTTCGTCCTTTCACACTCTCCTAGTGTGTGAAGATAACCCTTCATCCTTTCACACTCTCATAGTGTGGGCAGAGAACCCTTCAACCTTTCACACTCTCCTAGTGTGAGCAGAGAACCCGCGGCTGTTCACACTCTCCACGTGTCGGCAGAGAACCGGATCTCTTTGATAGATCTTTTCACAAGAATTCTAGAAGGAAGAAAGAAAAGAGTGAAGTAATCACAATTCAAAAGCAAGGACTTCTTACCTTTAAACTCCAAGTGAAGCCTTCATGCACCAGTAGCAAGAATCCTTCTTCAAAACACTCTCTCACACTCCCTTCTTGACTCTTCTTTCAATAGGCACGAAGATCAATGAGCAAAAAGATTGGGTGGCAGTAAAAATTGGACCTTATATAATAGAGACAAGAAAAACAGTCCAAAAAACTGCAAATATTCAAGTCAACACGAAATGGATCGTCCCGTACGATCGTGGATCATCCTGGACGATTTTACTTAAAGTGTTGGAAACGATCCTAATGAATATTGGTATGAACTATGTTAGTACACGATCATCATCCCGTACGAACTAGATTCGTCCGGACGAACAGTTATTTCATAGGTCGGTTCCCAAATTATCGCAGGATGTAACCAACTTACTTAAGTCGGTTCCCATCATCCTGGGACGAACAAGACTTCGTCCGGATGAAATTTTTAAAGAGGGCAACTCGTCCTGACACGATTATGAATTTCGTCTGAACGAAATTTTTGCAGAGAAGACTTCGTCCGGGGACGATTTGGATTTCGTCTGGACGAAATTTTTACAGAGCCCAAGTCGTCCTGGCACCATTATAAATTTCATCTGAACAAAATTTTTACAGAGCCTAACTCGTTCTGGGACAAAAATAATTTCGTCCTGGACGATCAGGACTTAGAAAAATTCCCTCCAACTCCTGTTCGCATTGCTCTTACTAGGAGATAACTCACCTGATCGTTCCGTAAGAATTAGGTTCGTCCTGTATGATCAGTACAAATTTTGTAAGATCTCCTTAAGTGTGTGTGTGTGTGTGTGTGTTTATTCACTCAAGTACAATTACTCTATCTCGATTTAAAGAACAATTTAAAGCTTCAATTTACAAAGGATTGTATGTTGAATTTGATTTGAAGTCTTCATAGTTTGGAGTTCAATTTTCTCGAAATGTTAGTACACACAAGAGTAAAAATAAATCTTCTAAAAAGTGTTAGGAGATAACTACACATAAAATAATAATATTTGGAATCATCAAAACTATACAAGTTGCAAGAATGTAAAACATACAAATTCCAACTCTCTTAATAGTGCACAGACAACTATCAACTTCTACTTGTTTGATGCGATGATGACAAATTGAAAGTTATTCATGATAAACTATCTTTATAAAACAAACTTCAAGTCTGACTTTTAGCTAAAGCACATCCCCTCCACCAAATCAGATGGGATTGGAAACTCTTCTTAAGCAAAGTTATAATTACCACTACTATGAAATGTCATTTCCTTGTCCCACTGCTGAGTGGTTTTACCTCAACTATTATCATTATCATCATTTGCCTTACCTTCTAGAAGCACTGCCCATTGTCTCGTATCCTTCCCGACAACTGGCATTGCCGCCTTGCACTCAGTACCACCCATCATATTCATGGAAGATGTTAGGGTCAAAGTGCCTAGATCATCCAAAGTACGTTCAAATTGAGAATGTCTGCGTCAACATCCAATATGATCACTTTAAATCCACTAAAAAATCATGGAAAACCAAGCCTCATAAAAAAGGAAGTACAAAACTTATCTAACATATAATTCTCCTTCTTCACAGTGTCTAATTCCACCACTACTGTATTCCACCTCATCATCCAAACCAACTGACTCATGGATTTGAGAAGTCAAATTTTCATGATTATTAATCTCCAAAGACTTCTCCTCGACTTCAACATATCGGACATGAAATGCCCCAACAACGTGAGCTAAAACAACATCACATCATCTTTCTCTACATGTGACGTAATGAACTCATTCCCAACCAAAAAATGACATACTA